GGCTGCCCCCGCCGACCGCCCCGCCCCCGGCCGCCCCCGCTCCGCGCCGGGGGCCGCTCCCTCGGGCGGGGGGAACGGAACGGGACCGGGCTGTCCCGGGAGCGGAGCGGGACGGGGGAAGTCCAGCCCGAACCGCAGCTCTGCTGCGCATCAGCTCCCGCCGCCGGTCATTGCGGGAAACGTGCCGCAAGAAGCCGGCCAGATTCAAGGTCGGACATCTTCTCTGCTGGCTTTGTGAATAAAAATAACTGGAGAGTTATTTTGAACCAGGAGAAGTTATGTGGCCTCTGTATCGCGTGAAATTTGTTTAAATCACAACATAACGAAACGTGTTGACCTGTTAAAATCCACGTGGCAACCATTTCACTCCTGCGCATTTACCGGAGAGACACTAGTTCTGTTGCCATTCGACAGTAGCAAAGTGATCAGCTGGTATCTACGAAAGGCAACAGGAGAAAAGTCTGGCACTGGCCTTCTAACAACACTACTAGTATTTCTAAAATACATACTGTACAAAGCATATTGACCCATCAAATACATTTTCTTCTTGAGACTGACAACAAAACAGGATGAAGATGTTTGTTTCCAAATCCATGCTTTGTGCCCCCAATCTGTCTAGCAGCAAGCTGGTCACACCTGTACCTCGGGAAGCTCTCCAACTGCAAAAGCAGCCCTGGACAATCCCAACCGGGACAGCTAACACTGGTCTTTTCATTTCACAGAGCCAACATACAGCAACCCGCACAAAGAAATAAACGCCAACGCAGGACACCCTGTCCAGCATATGCAATCTGTAATATTCTTTTTGCTAGCATGTACAGAAAGGAATTTTGTTGCCAGTCAACTTCCCTTCCCAACTCTGACCCCTTGCAAGCCATAAATTGTAATTCTTTACCAGAATCGGTGACAATTACACTGCTTCCCACACCCTCACTCCAGAGGCTTAATGATGATGAATGGAGCAGGCAGAGGACAGCGTGGCCCGGCCCAGGGCAGGGACAGGTTCACCTCCGTGTCAGCCAGCCGTCCCCTCGCAGCGCCTCGGGCACGGCCAAACGTCACGCGCTTGCCGTCATTCTCCATGCATGGGGATTTCAGCCCCATCACTCATAAGCATCCTCCCCTCTCTACGTTCCCCAGCTTCTTGCTGCCCATCCACTTACAACACTTTCTGCTATTTCTGCTGAAAATCCCACTGTTACCACGGTACCTGAGAGTTCTGGACAGTCAGAGCCAACAGCGAAGGCACTCCTCATTTCCTCTTGCTCTTCTTCTGCAACAGACGCTACATTCAGGGCATTTGGTGTCCTGGCACAATAGAGTCTTCCGAAGTCCTCGCCTCTTTCTTGGAAGGCAGATGAAGGGAAGATGAACGTAAGATTCAGAAAGATGAAGGGAAGGAGTGAAAACATAGTTCTTAAACCTGTAAGAAGTTTTTTTTAAAAAACAAAACAAAGAAAAAACCCAAACAAACCAAACCAAGCCCACAAAACCCCAAAAGCTGTTCTAAAGACTAAACATCCATAGTTTCACTCAACCATTTCTGTAACTCTGTCTTCCCCTGCACACGCAACAGGCCGTTCAGAGCTCTCACATATCGATCCCTGAGCATGGCCCTGGGAAACCACATTTCAGCATCATGCAGGTCAGCTCTCCATCTTCTGGGAAGAGGGACACAGCCGGCAGGCCAGGAGCAAGCCCCTCTACCCCAAAGCACCCCACACAAGCACATCCTTGGCCAGCTGGAGACCCTGTGACCGAGCTGCCTGCAGCTTGAACACCATGTTTCACAGGATGGGGCCCTGATATTTCTCAGAGTCTTCCGAGCCCTGGTACCGATGACGGGGCCCAACCCAGTGGTGGCAGGGTGGGTAAGGCAATCAGCTCAAATTCCTTATCAAATGATTCTTTTAAAAACTTGTGCAGCTATAAGTGGCTACCAGTACTATTACAAGAGCTCTTTAGAAGCTTGTCATTGGGGCTTATATCTGTGGAGTCTAGGAATACAAGACAACAGAGCTAAAATGGAAGGTCATATTCCCTAAGCTATATGCACTTGCCTCAAGATCTGCCAATTTTCTTTATTTTTTTTAAAATATATTTTCCTTTCTCTTCTTCAAATGGAAAACAGTCCAGTCTTTATTTTGTCCATTCTACTTTCTTCTGCACTCCAGCCTCGTAATATAGTCATTAATATTCCTCTTAACATTGACTAAAGTAATTTTGGCAGGAGCATTTTCCTTTCTTGTGGCCTTTACCACATTATCCCCACCACCTCCCTTCCTCAACTCAGATCTTGTGCACAATTACACCCATACAGTTACTTCCCCTCCACCCAAACCATTAATTATCCCTGCTTCCAACCCCCTTCATAAGCCTTCTCTTGGCCTGCTTAAAATATATTCCATGTTAAAATGCCTTAAACCCTACCTTCCTTCTACTTCAAAAATAAATCTTAGAGACCTATTCTCTAACCCGTTCTGTTTATCTAAATTACCTGCCCTTTTGTGTTTGTCTTGTATTGTAACCAGCTAGATTTTTTAATAGCTTACCTCTTAGAGAGAAAAACCCGTTTTATCCAGTGCTTCTGTCATACTTGAGGGTCATACTGAACACAAGGCACTTCATAAAGGAGACAGACATCCCATTCCGATGGTAGATAACTGTGGGCCATCTGTATATCCAAATATTGCCTTTATTCAATCTATAATACTTCTATTTCTAGAGATCCTCAGTAACATCATACGTTTGACACCTAAAAAAAACCCAAAACACCAAAAACTGAAACCAAACCTAAATTATACTGTCAGTCTGATTACAGAAGAACCTTGAAAAATGCCAGAGTAATTTTTGAGATATTTCAAATTAGGAGTAACAAACTCCATCAGCTCCATTTAATTTTTAATCCAAAGTGCAAGGATCCAGTCTACAATTTTCTCAGACTTTCCAGCAGTCACTCCTACAATTCCTGCCATATGACAACCCCAGAAAATTTCAATCCCTTTTCATGGAAGCCGCTTTTAGAGGGGTTTCAGCCACATGTCCTCGACAGTTTGCTAGGACTACATCTCCACAGTGTGTTTGGTCACACAGGTTTCATGAAGATGGTGTTTGAAAGGTGTGCTAAATTAATCTGCAGAAGACCTGATTTACTAAAAAATTAAAACAAAACATAAAAAGCCCTCATTTTTGTAAAGGGATTAAAACTACAGGAAAGCAAAGACACACACAAACACCTTGGTTCATCCATCATCCCACCATTAAGACCTATCAGCAGGTGGTTTGTATAGACAGGGCAGTAGGAAATGCTCCCAACTATTAGAAATGTAACATCAGCCCCAGGCCTCCAGTCCATCACAGCGCTTCTTGATTCTCTGGGTTTCTTGGCTTCCCAACCCCTCTCCTTGGTGCATATCCAAGTAACTATTAGCCAAAAAGAGATGGATAAGCTGTGTCTCTTGAAGTTTTTCCTGTGTTGTCTAGCACTCAGCTAGCAGTGGAAAAAACATCCCTCACTTCACCAGCGCATCTTGATGCTGAATGCCTCCCACCTAATTCTCAGACATTTACTTGTCAAAGGCAACGTCCTCCGCAGAGTTTGACACTCGTGGCCAAATCTTTTGTTAAGTGTCTTTGACTTCAGTGTTACACTAGTACACGGTCTGGCCCTTGGTTTGTAAGAACGCAGGAGCTGCCAGCCAGCCAGTTACACCCCAGCAGGGAGTGCCAGGTCTCGCCTGGAGCAGGGAACAGCCTCTGTCGGCTGGCCTCGCACGGTGCCGCAGGGTAACCCTCATGCTCTCCAAATCAGCAACATGTACCGCTGTTATACCACACACCTTCTCCTGAATCTCAAAAATGCAGTGATAAGCGGCCCTATATACAGCCAAGACCAAGCTAAACTTCTCTGACAGTGGTTTGCACTTGTTCTAATTCTTACTTGGTAAATCTTCAGCATTAAGGAGGGCTGTTTCTTCCTCCAGATAACCCTGAGGGAAGAGGGGCTTGCAAAGTGAGAAGGCAATTTGTAGTTCTGGTGTTTTGTGAAGAACAGAGTTGTACTAGGATCAGAAAGGGGAAAGAGCATGCTCGCTCTCTCTTTTTTTATCTAACTTTCTGGATGTTACAATTCTCTGCTCCAGATGTCTCCCCCAGCTTAGAAAAATAAATCACAAAATAGGCATGATGCAGATGGCCCTTGAATAAATCCACCTCAGTGCTCCCTCCAAGTGGAAGATAACCTTAATGTGAGAGAGCGGCTTTCGCGCAGGCAGTCCAGGCAGACATCTGGAGACAATGAAATATAGTGAGTGTCTTAATGTTTTAGTGAATTATTTAGGTTTGAGATAACACACTTCTGGGAAAAAAAATACTGCTTAACTTTAAATATATCTCCTTCCATCAAAGTCTGAGCATGAGTTTAAGAGTTCAGTAGCAATTTATTCCCCAGAATTCTTTGTTCTGTCAGCATCAACAGCTCATACTTATATTCTGGGTCAATCAAGATTCATATGCCCACTCAGGAGCTTAAACGCATGATTCTGCTGCTTTTTAGGATGGAAGCATCCAGGCACAAATCTGGCTATAACAGACTGATTTTTTCTTCTAAATAGCAGTCTTATTTTTTGCTCACCTACTTTTTTAAGTGCAGTTTATAAAAAAAAACTTCTGTATTTTAAGTATATATGCCTATTGTTTTGTTGGGGTTTTTGGTTGGTTTTTTTTTTTTTTTAACAAAAGTTTATTTCTTCCCTCTTCATCTTTTTTTTTCTGGTAAATATAGTAGAAAGAAATCACATCAACAATACAAAAAAAACCTCCTTCCTATTATAAACCTCGCAGAGTCTCCATTCCAGTTCAGAAGAGTACTTTATTCCTGTAAAGCACCAGTGGATACTTGTTTATGTCTTTCTAAAGTAAAAATTGCTGAATATATTCTTAATCCGAATGTGACCACAGATGGCCAAAACTTTGGTTTGGGTTGTCTTTACAAATGGTTGATGTTGGAAACATTACAGCCCAGGATGGCTGAAGATAAGAGAACTAACAATCCAGCGAGGCTTAAATTGGAAGTAAATCAAATTTGTTATGGTCCAAAATGATTGCACTTGGAAAAAGAACTGAACTGTCTAGAAGCAGTGACAGCTGTTGCAGATATAAGAGATACAGTAGTGACCTCAGCTTATGAGAAACAAGAAATAGTGTTCTAAGTACAAATATCTATGCAGGTTAGAGTTCAAAATTAGCAAAATCACAACTCTCCCTCTCTCTAATGTATATACAAACGCATAAACACACTCTCTCTCTGTATCCATATTATATAGAGTAAGACATACAAATTAGCAAAATTACTCCAGACTAAGAAAAATAAATAATGTCAATATAAAGATTGATATTAATGACAAAAAGACAATTTTAAATAATACTCTGAAATCAAACATCATGAACTCAAAGAATCTGAGTTAATATCGGATTTCAAAGAAATCCAAATTCATTAAGGTAAGAGATTCCTTAGTGGGAACAATCACAAAACTACATCTCTTTCTCGCAGCATTGCATAATAACCATAAGATCATGATTTAGGTATTTATCTCTCCTGATCCCACGCCACTGGAAGGGCAGTGGCTGAAAAGGTCAGTGGTCCAGCTGTCCTTCCTATCTCCAGGACAGCGGTGGCTGAGGTGCTGCAGCATGGGCTCGGTGGCCAGGCAGTTTAAAAACCTTTATGTTAAGACAGAAATCCTGTCAGTTGTCTCAAAGTAACTTATCCCCTGCCTATGACGCAAGACACGTTTCAGTTTCATTATATCACTACAGCATAAAGGAACTGCTCTTGCACTGGAAATGCTTGGACACGTGTTAAGAGATTATAGGGAGATCTTTTTCCCTATATTGAGGGGTGAAAAAAAAAAATCAGTGTCTGTGAGGCAGATAAAAAAAATGCAGCCAGTGTCTCTCTGTGGTGGTGTTGTCATTTAAGAAACCCATTAACCAACTTGAACAGAGCACATACAAACATTTAAGAAGCGGATCTTCACATAAACACAGAATAGTTGAGGTTGGAAGGCACCTCTGGAGATCACCTGGTCCACCCCCCCTGCTCA